ATTTAGAGAATGCACATTTATTTAGTTGCTTTATGGACGATTGACGACGAACTGAAGAGAAAGAGTCCAGGCACGGTTGATGGAGGATACACTGGTTGCGCAGAAGTCACAGCATGGATAACCGATACAGTTCTGTTATTTTCAGGGCTGCCACTTCATCCATTATCTTTCTTATGTTCCGATTTCCCTATTGTCATCTTCATCATCATCGACAGCACAAAATCAATGTTCAATACTGACGCTCCACTTCCGCAGTTGTGCGTTTGGGATCAGAGTGCGAATTCTAGATAGATCGGGCGTAGGTGCCCTATGACGCGCAGACATTTCTAACGCAGGACGAATGGGTGAACCTCAAGGAGAGAGTGAATAACGGATCGAGGGATGGGAGGATAGGTGTGTAAAGGAGACAGAATGGAGGCGTCAGCTCTGACCTGTTTTTGCCTACCCATCCTGCTGTATGCAGCAAGATGACACCACATGATAGCTGATGATGTGAATAAACAGCACTGTTGTTGGCAGGGATCATGGCTGCACTTGGGATGAAGTACTGCCAGAGTGCCCATACATAGATAAAAGGTCCTACACCAAAGTTTTCTGCTCAGCAGCAATCTTTGACTGGAAATATCGATTCACCACGTCTGTTTTAAAAAACGGGCCACAACACGTGTTCCCATCTCCACTCTTGAAAACTGGGAGATTGTGTGGGTCAGACCGCTGACCATCCGGCTAGGACGGAATTCGCGAATATCAAACGGACGCTTTCCAGAACAGCTCAGTGTGTCATGGAGGCACACAAACCGTGACACAAAGTGAAGGTACTGTCACTTTTACGACGGCGATATATCTGTTCATGTATGTGGATGTCGTTGTGATTGTGCGTGCTATGAGCATGGTACACATCCAGGTGTGTCTAGAAGTTTACCTAATCAGGTTTCTATTTGGTCGACAGTTTGTATTATCTCATTTTTAGTCCCGGAATTTCTGAGGCGCATTCATTAGTCTCACCTCGGATCAAAACCACAATGAATAATTAACTAACTTTCACCTTTTTACTTTTTCTGTTAACTCATTTATCGTGAAATGTCTAGGCGCGACACTCTCGAGTAACCCCACCTGACCCAATAAAGGCAAGCTGTCTTCGCTCATTCTCTGCACTCATGCCCATGGGACTACTAATGCCTATACATACGTTTATATAATGTACATGTAGCGAACTCTCATGGAGGATCTTGTTTAGGTTTGCAGTTGACAGCTCTGTGGAAGGTCCTTCATACCTTACACAATCAGTTCTACCGACTTTCTTCGGACCAGATATGAACCAGATACTTAATTCAGCCTCATCGACTTAGCATGATAGTTCCGATGAAAACTCTTTCTCTTCGGGGCTTCCTTTAGCCTTAACCGTATTGTCTTCCAGTTACATCGGCATGCTGGGTGGCACTGTTGTCATGAGTAACTCCATTTGTTTGAAGTCTTTGGTGAGAGGTGGTTTAATTCAGTATTGTGCAAGTAGACTTATTCTGGTATTCCCCTCTGATCATCATCATCATCATCATCATCATCATCATCATCATCATCATCATCATCATCATCATCATCATCATCACTGTCAGCCGTGATAACCGCGTACTTGTGGTTGCAGCTGCTGCAGTTTCTTTCAGCGATGATTGCGGTGTGAGTGTAGCCTTAAGTGCATTTGTTGTCTTTCAGTTACGTCGGCCTGCTGGTTGGTACTGCTGTCACGAGTTTGCAGTCTGTGGTGATAGATAGTTTATTCTACTTTTGTGAACGAAGAATTATCTTGGTATTCTCCTCTGATACCGTGGTGATTTTGTTCGTACGCCGAATTGTTAGTTCAATCTGACCAAGCCTGGGGAGCCGCCTGATGGTTTGATGAACAAGATAGCCTTCAACATGAGATTTTGTGTAGAACAGTACAACATAAGATATGCTCGTTAACTTTTGCGTAAAAACTGCAGGTGCCTGAGTGATTTTGCATAAGTTCCGCAATAAATTGAATCAATTCAAATCACACAGACAGGATATGACCGAACCCAGATGCATCAAGCCGATGCTTACACACCATAGCATCATAGGGTGTGCAAAAGTTTGCACTGGACTGTAAACAGCAAACGCGAACCACAATGACTTTGTTACGACATGGTTTAACAGCAAATTTTCCCTGAGGGAAGCAACACACTTCTGACTGTGTAGCATCCCACTTGGTAGGTACGACAAATAGTGCAGCTTATTAATTAAAGTAGGGAGGAACTACCGGGGATCGACGCTACCGAGGCCGATGGGCATTCAGGTTAATGCCCGAACCAGACGGAGAATACGCAGCTTGGTTCCCTCAGATGTGTCATATAGGTAAATTCAGGACATCACCAACCTCACATGCAAACTTTGAGTTGAACACTAAACGGTACGTCTGCGACCTGTTAGTCAGCTGGGTGACCGAGTAAGAACTGGGCGGAATGTCGCACTATTCAACTATTGGTCACGCAATTCACAACAGGTGCTCACCTGCTGGTTTGCGCTTCGGAACTCATGTGGCTGACCAGATAGACCAACTTGTCCACCACTTGTGGACTCGAGGTTTGGGTTGGATGTCGCTCAGTCTTGCAGAAGTCCTTCGCACTTTCTGGCCGTGTCGAACTGTGAAGCAGTATCCGTGGAAGTATGTTGCATTTCTAAGGGATCCGACCCCAAAATTGCGATATCATCAAGATGCACTACGCGTTTATGAGTGAGCACTCAGGAATTACTGCCTTTCCAGCATTCCGTCTTTCTCTCACAACCATGCAGTATAAGGATTTTCCCAAAACACTTCGGAGAGGATCATTTTCATCCTCAATGCTGGAGTAGGATGCCAGCCACAAGCTTGCCAACTGTGCATAGTTGGATGATGGTTTTGTGACAGTTGCATTTCCACGACAAACTTGCCTTCTTTTCGCATCGTTTCATACTTGAAACTCTTCGGAACTTGTTGCGTCTCCAGAACTATGCATTACAATTGACTACGTTTGTTCCGAATCACTTGCCCTCCGAGCCTGAATGTTTCCTTTGTCAATCCGCCCCATCCCACTGCTCCCCCACTTTGAAGCACGATGTTTGTGTGTGTGTGTGTGTGTCAACGTTTCCTGGGCTTTTCCTGTATTAGTTGCCTGTCCTCCACGCTGATACAGGTGGGCTACAAAAACCAAACCAACATCTTGTGACGGTGTGAGCAGCAATCTTTCAGGCCCTTTAAGTTTTTCGTGGGTTTTTCTATCTCCTACGGGCTAGGTACGCTGGACTTCGGACGCATAGATTCATCTCAGCACGCTTGCAACCTGCGCGCTTGGTCCGATAAATGCTTAGCCTTCCTACACTGCTCATAACTCTGCGCAAACCTGTAAATCCCTGGTGTAATGTGGCGGTGGCGCTCAACATCACATGTAGGTAAAGACCACAAATCGACGCGAAGGAACATCGTTGTGTCCCATGTGTGAAACGTGAGGTTAGCTAACGAGAGACAGTGAAACACGTTTGAAATGAAAACATACGAATACAACTGGAATCGTCGTCCATGTGGACGATTATACTATGAGCACAGCTGATTTTCGATCGCGCATTATGTGACCAACAGTTCGCTCAGGCTTACGGGACAGCGATATCCAAGGAGAACCGTTTGAAATATCCAGAACGAGGACACAACATTGTTTCCCCTTTTCTAATGTTCCTCTTAGAGATATGATAACCGGTGAAATTAACTGAGAATTCGGGTTAGCTTGCTAGAGTCATGCTTTGTTTGTCCCATTAGGAGATAGTATGTGCATTAGGACAGTAGAAACTCTCATCCAATCAAATAACAGCAGCGCTGCATGCAGCTGATTGGATGAGACACGTTTGCTTACAAGGTGAGTCATTGGTCAATTTGATGGGTGTTCAAGTGTCCCCCAGATTGGTTCCTCCTGCAGCACTACGAGGGTCCTTGAACATAAAGCTGAAGAAATTGTGGTTGTGCATCAGTGAAATTTGAGGACCTGTCGAATGAAGGAGTCAACATTGATTTCAGTGGCTTTGTTCGCTCTCACGATTCATGCATTCGAGTAAGTTCAACGTGGGGGTTGTTTTGCCGTAACAATACTCCAACAGACTGGGTGTTTACTACCGTAACAAGGGGCTATTTCGCGCGAAACGAGATATAGTCTATGCTGATCTCTCTATGGGAGAGGGGGTACGTCTCTGTGTTGTTCCGTCCCTAAAGTTTGAAGAGTGAATTGATCGCACATATATCACTTGGCACACCGGCACAAAACTTTTGCGTGGTTGTGGATACAACTTTGGATGTCACTGTGGTCGTGTCCTCAACCGTGCGTCATGCTGAATGGCAGCAGAAAAGAAAATTTGATAGAGGTCTTTCAACAACACAGCAAACGGTTGCGCCCACTATTTACTTCAGAAATGTCCGAGGACTGGGCATAGGCGATTATTTTCAGGTGGGTTTTGTAGTTCTTTAATGAATTTGCTTTTGATTAGCTTGACGGATATCCGGTTGGTCAACTAACATTTCCTCTGCTTACTGTCCACAATCCAAACTTGAGGCCGCCTGCTGTAGGTGATGGCTATCTTGGTTTGGGGTACCCGGACGTTGAAAGGCGAATAGCTGATTTCAACATTCTCAATGTCATGTCAGCAAATCAGATGATAGACTACAAGAGATTCACTCTATTTTGTGTATGGTATGTTACCTAACGGGGACCACCAGTTTGGTGAAAAAGATTTGTAGCAGTTTATTTCATTTCTTTATTTGTTATGCAGTAAACTCATCGATTTGTATTCTTTTTGAGTGCTGGTCATCGGAACGCTCTGGAACCTGATGCTCGAATTGTGTTTGGGTCACATAATACAATCGACCCAGGAGAGTTCCAGATGGTGTCCGCAGATATTAGTCGCGCTTCATGGAAGATCCAAGTGTTGAGGTAAGTGATGAATCATGACGTAATTGCCCAGCTAAAACAGTGAAACACAACGCGTACACATTAATTGCAAACTATTCCCTCAATCACAGCCTCAGTACAGCTGGACGGCGGATTTCTTTGAGATCGTTCACTGCGACACTGGACAGCACCACCTTCCTAAGCAAGGCAAGTGTGGAGCGTACAAGTCAAATTAACACCGCACTGGGAGCAACGCTATCGGGAAATTTGTACGTCGTTGACTGTAACCAGGTGGGACAGCTGCCAGCTCTCGTTATGTCCTTCCAAGGGGTACAATTGAATCTTACCCCAGAACAATATATTCAAAGAGTGAGTGAGGAATTTTGTAGGTTGTATCGCGTGCGCAACTGTATAACAAGCAGACTGATACAACACAAACGCTTGTGGCTTCAACGTGGCCAGTTTGATTAGAAATGGTCTGATGTGTATGCGTAAGGTGCGATTTGCTGCGATATTTGCTGCAATATGTGCTCATACTGAAAGAAGAAAGCCCTTCGACCTGGCAGCCACGGTTCATTGATGAACAAGCCTCAGACAAGCAATAACGCGAGCTCACAGCTGATTCAATGGATAGAATGGTCGAGCTGGCTGATAGGTTAATAACCCCTTTTGAGCTTAACTCAAATCGGCTACGTGATGTTGTTACCAGGTGGTGGTAAATGGATTATCGTAAATCACACGAACCTACACAGAAATTTCATGAACATCTTAATTTCTCCCACTAGGATGAGGTGCAGGGACAGGCTCGCTGTTTCAGCTCGATCGTTGCAGATCCAGCTATCAAGACTGAGCGCATGACACTGGGAATGTCTTTCATGGAACACTTTATAACTATGTTTGATCAACAAGAGAACAAAGTGGGATTCAAGCCGAGAATTTGCTGTATAACTATTTCAACAAGAGAACAAAGTGGGATTCAAGCCGAGAATTTGCTGAATGCGTTTCTTGATACCGACTTTCGTACAATGTGGCATGCAAATACAAATCTCTGTTTTCATTTGATCTTGCGTTTTTATTCATATGAGGAGATGAGACCTATTCCAATCAGTTGTGCTTTCACTTTACCAATAATCTCTTCTAAGTTGAGTGACTGGGAGAATTCTGCATTGCTTTGTAAAAACATAGGGACAGGTTTTTGGAAGCAGGCTTTTCAATCCGTTGGTTTTAGGGGACTATTTGTTCAGGATGCCACAGGATGTTGTGTGCGAGTGAAGTTCACTTCCCATGCACTCGTAAACCCGATATCAGTCACCAGTTTCGCCACTTGTGTACGGAGGAGTTTTGTGGGGTTCTTGGGTGTTTGTTGATGGGTAGCTTGAGGCCATCAATCTATAAGAGTGAAGCTTCTGCGGAACACTGGACATCCGGTCGGGGAGCACACCACTTCCGCCAAACTGCTAGTGCTGTCATTTATTGGGTAATGGATCCGGTCTCTCCCGTTCAGAAAATGGGCGCATCTTCTTTTTCACTAATTCATTCTTGGGAAACTGACCCATGCGCTAAACACCTTAAATTAGCGTCCCATCACATCTTGATCTCACTTGAACAGCCGGTAGTTAACAGTCACAAATATGAACTCATGGTATCTACATGTATGTCAGTGGTGAGTGCAGAACGATGTTGGATGTATGAAGCACATCGATAATATTAATTTAGACTGGCTATCAAAATAATCGTCTTGGGTCGCGTCTAGGCTAATGAAATCGACACTCCATTATGGACAACAGCCGACTGTCGATGCAAGCGGAAACATAAACTCGCTTGCAGTAACGGAGTAGTGTAAATTGCGACCACTCTTCGCTGGACTTTGGAATGCGCGTGGTTGGCTGTCCGTTCATTCATAGCGCAGGAACTTCATAGTGGTTTGGATGGACATGTGAATTTCAAGTGCCAGTCGCGTGCATGTCAAATTTCTTGCAGTCATGATCGTGTGTGCATTTTTCTTATAATCAAGCGGGCGATTCTAATTCGACCGCAGATTAGTATTCCTTAAGCCTCCATACGATTTGCGATACAGCCCTGATCTGAATTTCATTACGACACAATCAGTACTCCACGCTGGATTCCCAAATACTTTTGTTCCCATGGGCAACCGTCAATGAATTGTGGAAACGAACTCGTTCGAAAAAAGCGATGACAGTTTGTTCAGTGGCCACCAGAAGGTACAGTTGTTGTCCGTTCATCATAGCGCAGGAACTTCATAGTGGTTTGGATGGACATGTGAATTTCAAGTGCCAGTCGCGTGCATGTCAAATTTCTTGCAGTCATGATCGTGTGTGCATTTTTCTTATAATCAAGCGGGCGATTCTAATTCGACCGCAGATTAGTATTCCTTAAGCCTCCATACGATTTGCGATACAGCCCTGATCTGAATTTCATTACGACACAATCAGTACTCCACGCTGGATTCCCAAATACTTTTGTTCCCATGGGCAACCGTCAATGAATTGTGGAAACGAACTCGTTCGAAAAAAGCGATGACAGTTTGTTCAGTGGCCACCAGAAGGTACAGTTGTTGATTCTGAGGTGAAATTCGTTTAACTTCATGGGGGCCACGTCTTGTCGCGTAGTCAGAATCCCCGGTGTCTAGTAAAGCTTCGGGTCTCACCTATGTGGTCACACAAGCGTTTACTACAAACTACCTTGTGAGCCAGCTGTACTTATGACGAATGCAACGAAAGATTCTGCGCTGGTTGCATACTAGATGTCATGGTCAATCTGTGTCACAGTTTGCCCAATGTTTTCGAAAATGCAGTCAATCCCAGTGTACTAATTGGCCACTACGATAACAGATACTTCGAAACGACTTTCCAGAATTGAGGAGTTATACCGCTCGTTTGTGTGATCGTTGTGGATTTTCGACAGTCCTCTGATCCTGTGAGAACGTAGTTACTTTCATTTAACTTGGGGTTTAAGCTTTTACCAAGGGAAGTCGATGACCGGTTAGTTCTTATTAAAACTGGCGACTGAGGAAGAGATAATATTTTATCAGTCGGACGTGGTACACAAAACTCATCTGGACCGAATAGGAATCAAATGCAGACTAAAGAGCTTTCGTTTGTTCCATTGGAATGAGAACCCATTTTCAACCAAATTTGCGCAAGGAAAGTGAGTTGAGATTGCGGTAGGACGAGGCATTCTGTGCAACGTTCATTGCATGAGTAGAAGCGATGAACATCGCAGAATACATGTGTGCCCCTCGTACTTTGCTGCACACCGCTTAGTTGTACTTAAAACGCCGTGTGGATTGCGTAGGTGACTTCCAAGACGACAAGCGTCCTTAGGTAAAAGCAAAGCAGCCTTTGCTGAGAATACAGCAAGGTGCGAGTAAGACGAATCGGGAATAGGGAATCGTCAGGTTGTTTTTACCCTGAGGATATTAGGGACAGATTGGATTATGCGCTCTAGCATGACGGACTGTAGACCTGTGGTTTGTCCATGTGAAATTATCAACTGTCTTCACCGCTGGTTACTTATGCCTAGTTGTCGGACTATGGATGATAGTGATCGCTTTCAGTATCATGTACAGTTCAGAAGACGTATTTTTTGGGGTTTTAAGGAACCCAGAGTTAGGTCTATTGAACAGTAGAAGCTCTCCGTAGAGTCTGATGTGTACGGAATCGATGAATATACTGCTTTCCGTGATTGAGGTGGATCCTTTGGTCCTCAAAAGGCTCGAGTGTCATTACAATGATGCCTTTCGTTGATCGATTTAAGTTCTCCGACCACTGTACCACTAGAGTAGCCCGTGTGATGATGTTTCTAATGTGCCACATATTTGTCCCAAGAATTCCACACACATACTGAAAACGGTAGTATTCCATCTTTGTTGTGAGGGGTGAGGATTCTGCTGTGCACCCTACACCTGGTTTGCATTGTTGGTGAATAACAGACCAACAACTTAGATTGTTGAACGCGGAACGAGGCCACAATCCTATGGGGGTTTTTTTCTTCAAATTTTACGGGAATTTCACGTCACCGGAGAGATTTCGGCTTAGATCGTTGTCCGAACGTTTGGGTTTCATATTTTAAGCTTCTCGTCTGCCGAGACTCAAGCGCGGAATATTTCATCGGACTTATAGAATGCTACGCAGGGGAATGCGTATTGCCATTTATTTCTCGCACAACTCCTTTTGTTTATGGGGAGCCGGATTCCACGGACTAGGACTAGGAATCAGTATCGCTACACTATCAGTGCCCTCTGTCTGAACGGCTGCCTAGGGCATCTTACAGCCTTAGCTTGATGTTGCAGGAACAATGTCTAAGTCTCACTCAAATAAGGGCACAAACCCAAACGAAGGACGATGTTTAGGAATAGCTATCCGGATAACCTGGTGAAGGGTTTTTGGCGGACAAACAAAGTCAGCCATTCGCAGTAAGTATCGTCTATTTCTTTGTAATAGTTCACAAACATCACCGTCTTCTCAGGAAGTCATATTGGTGGTTGTTTTGTGAAATTCCGCCCAACCGCCGGTTTGAATTTTCCGCACACATCGAATAACGCTGAACGAAATCACGAAGGCCAAAGTCAACTTTAATGTATGCGATATCATTTGAGTAACAAGCTAATGAATCTCCACGGAAGCCTCATGCTTCAAGCCTGTACACAATCTAAGCAAGGGTTTCTTTCGCCTTTCTCCTTCCTTACGCACAATGGGAAACGGATCAACCGGCTTACACATCCTCACCCAAAGTGTAATCTCAGTGGTCGCCATTCGGAAGAACAACGTGGAAATAAGACAGGAAGATTCTGAATAAAGCTCCGACGCTAAGTGGACAAGCTGGTTTCCCCCGTTTAATGTACTGTGGTCACAGCGAAATAGATAAGCGATGAGAGTCGCTGGGTACAAACCTATAGATACAGCTATTTCAACGAATTTTGAATTATTGAAATGTGACCAAAACTGGGGCATGCATGCTTTGGTTTGCTCATCTGTTCTGTGGGAGTGAATTCGCTACTCGGAATAAAGTTATGCAGGCCCATACGAGGACGCTATGGGGGTAAGTTATAAATCACTCAAGTCCCAAATTGATGCCGCGTACGCATCCATGTTCTGATCGGAGGGGTCACGATAAACCTCGTTGTTATTATTCATGCGATAAGCATAGAGGATCCAGGGCATTCACAAGGATTGTCACCAAAACGACTGTGCGTCACGTATCGAGGACAGTCGACGTGAAAATTCCTGTCATCATCAGTTCAAACCTGTGGGCTAGTGTTTGCCATAAAGTGAAAATTTTTACTTTGTTTGTGAAATTGTAACGACAAATTTGAGGCGAGCTTACTTCCACATTCGAGCAGAACAAACGAGCGTGAATGACCATAAGAATTCTTAGCAAACAGTTACGAATCACTGATATTTTTGGTGATTCAAGTTTTTGACGATGGTTCGGGAATGTATTTGTCTGTTTGCTAGATAGGTTGGCCAGTTCTGCCTGTTGATCTGAGTTGTTTATGTTGCATTTTAACTACCTTGGCGAAGTGTGTATAGCTGTTTTCAGGAGACCAACTGGGTCAGGTCAGAGAGTAGAAACACGAGGACCTTGCCTCCAACGCTCCAACCATGTGATCCGTGACGGAATTGAACGTGTAGGTTATCGTTCTTCCTACACTAAATTTTGTTCAAACGTGGCTCTTAATCTGATTACGTGATGCCTGTCTACACACTTGAGCGATTGGTGTTCGACAGTCGCTGACAGTGTGCAATGTTCTCATATGCAGTGCACAGTGTGGTCTCAGTAAGAAGCACCTGGCTGTCAAGGAAAGCGAGTCCGTTGGCCTGGTTTCACGGTACCCGGAACAGATGCTTGTGACACGCCCGTTGATAGGTTTTCAAGCATTGCCTGCCAGTTGTGTTTTGACGTAAATGTGTTAAGAACAAAACAGTGCGCCTGGGCCAAGTATCCGAGTTCAACCATTTAACCACATTCTGGATATATATCTTTGATCGATTTCCGAAAACCATCCGTGAATTATTTAGTATGATTTTCATATCATTCTCCGAGTAACTCAGATATTTCAGAATGCGAACTGCTGGTGTTTCCCTTTCGAAAATCCGACTAACTCGTCGTGCAAACG